TGGACGAGGATGTGGTGGCCAAGCAAATCCACCACCACCACCTCTCGATATCATGGATGTCATTTATCAATGTATAAGGGAGCTAACCACTTTGGCACAACACCAGAATAGAATCTACAACTAGCAACGACAGAACTTAGTGAGGGGAGGTCCGATTAGGATTGGGGCGTTACAGAAGTTATATCTTGAGCAAATCTATTATAATATGGTTTAAGCCTTTGACCTTTTACTTTAAAAACATTTTCAGTTAATGGATTCTCAATTTCAATTACTCCATAGTCAAAAACTTGTTTAACAATGTAAGAACCTATCCATCTAGGTTTTAATTTTCCAAGAAATAGACAAAGTTTTGCATTATACAAAAGGTTCAAAAGATTTTTGCATGATATTTTTATCATGAAAAATTTTGGTTCTTGATTTAATAATCTTTGCATTTTCATAAGCTTCGTTTCTTAATTCATCTAATTCATTATTTTGATTGCCCAATATGCTCGACATTCTAATTCTACAGGCAAGTGATATGGTTTACCATAAACTAATCGATATGAAGACATTCTTAAGTGCATCAGTTAATTTTAAAGACCAATATTTACGATCTTGATTTACTACTTTTTCTAAGATATATTTTATCTCCCTATAGCTAATTCAGCTTATCCACTTGTTTGCGGATGATACATAGTGGATATTTTATGAGAAATTGAATATTTTTTCATAAGTTTTTCAAAAACTTTATTACAAAAATGTAATCTACCATAACTTATAATGGTCTGAGGAATTTCAAATCTGGACAAAATATTTTTTTTTAAAAAAACTTGATCACTGTTCTGTGATCATTATTTCTACATAGAATTGCCTCTATCCATTTAGAGACATAATTGACTACAACCAAAATGTACAGATAACCAAAGGATGGGGAAATAGACCCATAAAATCGATTCTGCAACAATAAAAAATTTCAACAATTAAATAGGGTTTAAAGACATCATATTTCTTTTTGAAATATTTCTCATTCTTTGACATCTGTCATAATTTGAATAAAAGATATGAACATCTTTAAAAAGAGTTGGCCAATAAAATTCATAATACAAAATTTTAGCAGTGATTTTTTTTGAAGTAAAATGGCCTCCGCGAGCTTCAAAGTGACAAAACTGAATTACCTGACCTATTTCATGATTAGATATACAACGCCTTATTATTTATCCTTATAATATTTAAATAAATACGGATCTTCCTAGAAAAAATTACGTACCTCACTTAGAAACTTATTTCTATTAGACCAGGTATAATGAGAAGGAATATTACCAGTGACTAAATAATTAGTTATATTTACATACCACGGTACTTCTATTATTGCATACAGTTGTTCGTCTAGAAAAAGTTTCTTTAATTGGAGTTGGTTTTTCCTTTATTTCATAATTTATTCTTGATAAGTGATCTGCTACCACATTCTTTACTCATTTCTTATCCTTAATGACAAGATCAAATTCTTGAAGTAATAAAATCCATCATAAGAGACATAGTTTAGCATTTTTTAATAAACAAATACTTTAAAGCTACATCATTCTGTAAATATAACAATTGATGATCCAACAAGATATGAACGAAATTTATCTAATGCAAACACAAATGCAAGTAGTTCTTTTTCTGTGATTGAATAATTCATCTGTGTATCATTCAGAGTTTTGCTCGCATAGTATATAACATAAGGTTTTTTATCCTTTCTTTGACCTAATATAGCTCTTATTGCATAATCACTTGCATCACAATTAATTCAAAAGGTAAAGACCAGTCAAGAGGTTGCATAATAGGTGTGAAAATAAGCTTATTTTTAATTTATCATATGCTAATTGACATGCTTCACTTCATTCAAATAATGCATCCTAACATAAAAGATTACATATAGATCTAGATATTAAACTATAATTTTTTATAAATCTTCTGTAAAATTCTGCATGACCTAGAAAAGAGCAAACATCTTTTACAGTTTTTGGAGATAGAAGATTAGCTATCATAGATTTATCAACTTTATCCCTTTTTTAGATACTACATGACCTAAAACAATACCTTGTGTAACCATAAAATAACAAATTTTCCAATTTAAGACAAGGTTTGTTTCTTCACATCAAATGAGTACTTTTTTAAGATTTTCCAAACATAAATGAAATGAATCACCATATACTAAAGAACCGTCCATAAAAACTTTTAAGTATCGTTCAACCATATCACTGAATATACTTAGCATACAACGCTGAAAAGTAGCTGAAGCATTACATAATCCAAAAGGTATCCTTTTATATGCACAAGTATCAAAAAAACATGTAAATGTAATTTTTTTTTATCATCTATTACAATTTCAATTTGATTATAACCAGAATATCCATCTAAAAAACAATAATATGCATGATCAACTATTCTTTCTAGTACTTGATCTAGAAAAGGCAACGAAAAGTGATCTTTTCTGGTGAGAGAATTTAGCTTTCGATAGTCAATACACACACGTCAATCTGTGACTGTACAAATATGGACTAATTCATTCTCTTAATTTTTTATTACAGTGATACCAGACTTTTTAGGGACTACCTGTGTAGGACTAATCCATTTACTATCAGATATAGAATAAATAATATTTGCATCCAATAGTTTAAGTCCTTCATTGTGAACTACCGCTTTCAGGTGTGAATTTAATCTTCTTTGCATTTGACGATATGATTTAGCATTTTCTTCTAAATATATACAATGAGTACATAGAAGTGGGCTTATACCTTTTATATCTGCTATTGTCCATTCAATAACATTTTGGTGATATTTCAATACTTTTGTTAATTCTTTTTCTTAACTTTCAGATAAATTTGATGATATGATTATAGGATGAATTTCATTTTTTTCTAAAAAAATTTATTTCAAATTTGTTGGAAGTAGTTTTAGATCTAACTTACAAACTTTCACATTCTGGATTTTCTATATTTTCAGATTCATTATCAGATACATACTTTAATGTATATAATTCTTTTTTCAGAAAAACCTCTTTAAAAAAATTTTGAGTTAACGACTCAACACAATTTATTTCATGCATTTCATCTTCTTCTCTAGGTTGTTTTGTACTGTTAAAAACATTTAATTCCAAGGTCATGTTTCCAAATGAAAGTTTCACTACTCCAATCTTACAATTTATCAATGCATTTGATGTAACTAGGAATGGTCGACCCAAAATAACAGGTATGTGTGCAGATGCATGAAAAATTGGTTGTGTATCTAAAACGATAAAATCTATGGAAAAATAAAATTGATCAACTTGAATAATAACATCTTCCACAATTCCTCTTGGAGTTTTTATTGATCGGTCTGCTAATTGTAGTGTAATACTAGTAGGTTTCAGCTCACTTAATCCTAATTATGTATACATTTAATATGACATTAAATTACAACTTGCTCTAAGGTCTAGCAAAGCTTGTTCAATTCAAAAATTTCCTATAATGCATGAGACTGTAGGACTACCTGGATCTTTGTACTTAAGAAAAGTGTTATGTTGTATTATAATACTAACTTATTCAATTAGAAATGCTTTCTTTGGTACATTAGTTTTTCTTTTTATTGTGCAAAGATCTTTTAAAAACTTAGCATAAGCTGGAACTCATTTAATTGCATCCAACAAAAGAAAGTTAATCTTAATTTGTTTAAATAGTTCAAAGATTTCAGCTTGATTTTTTTCAGATGAAGACTTCTTGACCATTTGAGGAAAAGGTAATGGAATAGGACACAAATTATCTTTCTCATTTTGTAGTTCTAGTTGTTTTTTGATTGAAGGTTCAGGTTCAAGTGGTTCATTAACAGGAATTAACTTACGTATTTTCTTGAAAATTTTAGATTTAATAGTATTGTCAATCAACTTACCACTTCTTAGTGTTGTGATTGCTTGTATTTGACTTAGGGAAGGTTCAGAAGACACAAAATTAACTTGATTTTGACTTTGTGGAGGTTTAGGTTGAGATGTAAATTTTTCTTTTTCTAACATACTTAGAGACTGAGTCAATTTAGCTAGATGACTCTTAATATCTTTAATACTCTGAAAAGTTTGAGTTTTCAAATCATTAAAAGCTTGAGTTGTTTGAGTATTAAAACTCATTTGACTTTGAATAAATTGATTCATAATATCTTTCAGAGTACTTTTATGTGGAGGTTGATATTGCTAATTTTGTGGTTGTGGTGGACCTTGTGTTTGATTTGTAGGTTGTGTATTTCTCCAACTAAAATTTGGATGATTTCTCCATCTTGAATTGTAAGTTTCAGAATATAGATTTGAATAAAGCTTATTGGAACAACATTAGATTGTTCAATTAAAACTTCTTTAAATGTTGCTATAGTTGGACATTCTGCTGCAAGATGTCCTGATAATGCACAAATTTTACATATTTGAGCAGTAGTAGATACAACAAATACTTGCTTAATTTTTTTTCATTTCTAAAGCTTCTTATTTTTGAGATAAATTAGTCATTTTAGCTCTTAAGTCATCATCTTATTTTAATACATATTTTCCTCTTTCAGATGTAAATAGCTTAGTTTTTACTATATTTGAAGAAGTCGAGTCTCACATTTGGGAACTCTCAGAAATAGTATCAAAAAATTGAAACGCTTCTTCAGGATTTTTACTCATAAATTCTCCCTGAGCCATTATTTCTCTAGCAATTCCGCACAAAATCCCTGAAATTTCAAACAGTGCACAAATAAAACCCTAACTTACGCACAAACCCTAATACACAGTTTTTAACTGTTTTATCTTATAAAATTATCTTATTTAACTATATTAATTTATATATTAATTAGGGATTAATCAATGACTTCATGGGCCATGTGGGATTGGACCTCCACCTGTCTACATAAGTAACTTCCAACCCACTTGGAATTGGGGTGCATAACTTTAAAACTTCTAATACTTCTAATACAAGTATGTGTAGTATTATATGTTTTGATTTCTCCCTTGCCATGCTTGAAGCATAAATCTCTCAGTCACAACCATTCCTACATACTGCCCTCAACCTAGTCTTCTTATTTTTGTAAAATCTTGTTTGTTTTCTCCATTTGATTGCGTGTTGTCTTATTGCAGATCTGAACTCAGATGCATTTTTAAATAACAGTCCTAGCATGAATTGTGGGTCAACCATATCAGTTTTTGCATCAAACTGTGGATACCTAAAACTCTTCTTTCTTTTAGAACTGACTTCTTCATCATCATCATCTAATGATGAATCACTAAAACTGAATAGCTCCTTAGTGGCATAGCCTTCACTAGACAATTCATAAATCAACTTCCATTCTTGTGCCCTTTTTCCCTTTCCCTTTATCAACCCCTTTGTCTTTATAATTGTCAGCCCTGTTATCTTGGTCCACCACTTTGTCCACGTCCCTACCAATAATTTCCCCTTAATCAATCCCTTTGTCTTTGTCTCTGCCAACCCTATACCTTTATCAATGTCAACATATGTGTCATACAAATGGCTCTCATCCATGTCGTACTCACTGTAATAAAAAATAATCGTCATTAGATGATGAACTGTCTAAGCATGAGTCACTATCAGAATCATTAGAAGAAAGAGCGTGTTATTTGTATCCCTATTTCCACCTGATTTTGAACCCTATTCATGAAGATTAGATTCAACATAGCTTTGCCCATACATATCTACTACATTGTCGATTCCAACCTAATTAAACAAGCCCATTGTATCTTGGTCAGTTTCCAACACCCTTAACTTAATAATAGAAATTTGGTCGAAATGACACAATTTCAATGTAATTCACTTTGCCACCGACATACACTCCATTAACATTTTTACCACCATGGTGTAATTGAATAATGAAGTATTCAGAACCATCATTTGCATATGAAATTTTTGTTTAACAAATCAAATAAATAAACAATCAAACAAAATCAAGACTTTGACAAAACTAAACAAATCACATATATAAAATAATTAAAAAATTGACACTCACACAAACCCCCATACCTAATTGGACACAACACAATGGCCCACACTTTGAATATAAAAATGACCCACCCATTATGCCTTGACAATTGATCCCACACACCAATGTCACAGTAAACGCCACTATCTTAGGTGTCGTTTGATAACCATTTGTTTACTTCTTCTTTTTTGTTTTTTTTTCACTTATTGCAAAAAAAAAAAAAAAACAATAACATGTTTGAAATGTTTATGTTTTTTTTAAGCCCCATTGTTTTGAAAACAAAGTCAAATTCTATAAACACTAAAAATGATGTTTTTAAAAACATCAAAAACTAAAAACACGCGATTTTCCATTAACAATTAATGAGATCCAACCTTCGAATCTCATTAGCAATAAAATGAGATTTTTTCTTGGGCCAACTATAAAAATCTCTTATTTCTTTCTTTCTTTTTTTGGTGTCTTCGTCTTTTTCCCTCATCTCTCTCTCTCTCTCTCTCTCCTGAAACCAGTGGCGAAGACGAAGATGAAGAGGCTGACGATGAAATCAAACACGAATATAAAATTGAAGACAAAGACGAAGATGAAACATACATCATCTCTCTAGCTCGTTTCCCCATATTCCATAACTTTATACCATATATATACATATATAGATATAGATCTACATATATGATGTTATATATACATAGGTTTATATGTGTGTATGTTTATTTGTGTTTGTGTGTGTGTATATATGTGTTGTATATATAGATCTGTGTGTGTATGTGTGTTTGTGTGTGTGTGTGTGTGTTATTGGTGGGTGGTGGATTGTAGGGGATTTGGTGGGGTTTGGATGGTTGCTGGTGGGGGTGGATTTTCAGGCTGGTGGGTGGTGGATTGTAGGGAGTTTGGGGGTTTGGTTTTCGGTGGTGTTGGGTGGTTATTGATGAGAGTGGGTTTTCGAGGTGGAGGGTGGTGGATTGCAGGGGTTACTGGTGGTGGGTTTAGGTGGTGTTGGGTGGTAAATTTTGGATAAAATACCAAATATATTTTTTATTTTTGTTTTCATAATTTTTTAAATATAAATAATTATCAAACATGTTTTATATTTTTTAATTTTTTAGCAAAAAAACAAAAAGGTTACTAAACCCACCCTTTGATAATTTATCATCAACTTGAAAAAGACTGGAAAAAAACATAAAGAAACATTATTATAACATGGGTCAACCGATCATGGTCGTAAATCATCAATCTCTTTCCTCCATACCCGAGACATTCTTTAACCCACCGTTAAACAAGATGCGCAACTGACTTTTGGTGAATTTCTTAGGAGTTCAATTTAGCCCTAACTCAATTGGATTTTTCTATCTCTGTCCCATCCCCTCTTCTCTCTCCAAAAGTTTTCATTTTACATATTAACCCTTTAAGATTGCATGAGCTTGTCACGTGAGCTTAAAATAGACAGAGATATGAATGGACGTTTGGATGTGCATCACATTGAAACAATTTCACACGATTGAGGGTATAATGCGGGAAAGTTTAACTGTCAGGGTGCAAATAGGAAAATTTAATATCTTCTAGGGTGCAAATTGTTGACCCAAAAAAGGAGAAAAGGCACCTGTGTATCACTTTTTTTTTTTTGATAAGACACATGTGTATCACTTGATGCATGTCATTTTCTTCTAATAACATGTGGTATGTTTCAATAAATTTTTTGACGAAAATCTTTAATTGAACTCAATTAAAATTTGTGGAAAGTTAAAAGAGAAATTAGCCAAAAAAAAAATACTTTCAAGATCAAAGTGGGAATCAAAAGAAACTTTGAGGTAAAAAGTGTAATTAATCACTTATTAGGGTGAGACTATTCTCATCCTCTTATGTTTTCTTTCTCACACCATTTAATCATTTTATTTCAAACTACTAAGTCTATCCTTATTTATACACATTCAATTAAACTATTAAATATATATGTTATAAAAATGAAACAAAAATAGTAATTGAAGTGAAATTTTAATAAAAATAATAATTGAAGTGAAATTTTAATATTTTGAAGTGATCAATAATAATTCGAGGTGTTTTGAGATATTTTAACATGTTTTTACTAATGTCTTTATAATAATTTGAGGTATTTTAAGATATTTTTTTATATTTTAATTAATATTTTAAAAATAATTATTAATTTTTATTCTACTTCAAAAATATTTTTTTGTATTGAAATAGTAAATTAAAATAAAATTTTGATCATTATTTATATAGTAGGTAAAAATAAATATTAGATGAATTTAATTTTTAATTAATAAATATATAAATGGTGATTTTAATAACGAGTATAGATGGTGGATGTAGGAAGATTAAATGGGATGGAACGAAGGTTTAAGGGTTGGGAATAGCCCACCCTTTGATTAAGGCCAACGGAAAACACGCAAAAACGAATAGCAAGTACAAAAGAAATCGGATACAGAGATCGATCTCTCGATCCCACCAGGTAAATCCAGTGTCTGCCTTCTCTCTCTCTCTCTCTCTCTCTCTCAAATTTAGCTATGCCTCTGTCTCCTCGCTCTATCTCTTTTTCTACAGAAAATTGTTTATAGAAACCCCATAGCTCACTGCTCCGACTTGAAGGCATGACTTGTTTCTGACTCTAAATAGATAACTTCACCTTTTTTTTTTTGGTTAGTTTAAGATTAGAAATATGATAAATTTGGAGTTAAGAATCGTCGTAGAGGTTTTGCTTTCTTTCCTGGATTGGAATGTCTGTCTGAATAAACTTGAACCTGTATGAAATGCCCAGAAGATGTTCGACGAAATGATTATGTATATGTATATGTATATGCAATATATGTGTGTGTATAAATGTAAGTATGTATTTGTTTTCGTATTAAATATATGATATAGTAAAATTAGAAGGGAAATTTCGAGCTGGGTGTGGAAAGGCTCAATTTTCTCTACAGTCCCATATTATTGCAATAAAATAGTAGTTCTATTATTATTATTTATTATAGTTTAAAGTGACGCTAATCTCAAAATTGAGGATTTGAAACGGAAGAAACTAAATATAGGAGCAACAATTCGAGAATGTAAAGAAACTAAATTGTATTGATTGACATTCTGGAGTGAACTCCCTTTGTAAAACACCTCGTAATGAGAATGTTAAAGTTGTGAATATCCTAATCCAATTGATATGTCTCGATCTATATGAATTTTCTCTTAAAAATGTTAGTTTCTCTCAATTTTCACCTGGGTATGCTAATAGTTTGCTTTACATCTTAGATCAATGAACTTTTGGTTGGAAAATGGAAGATATTTAGGTGATGAGTTTTGTGTGTGATAATGATGTCAATTTTGAGTCAAAGATGGTCACAATGGTTGAGCTGGAGGTTTTGACGCTGGTGGAAGAGGTGGATGGTGGTGGTGGTTGTGTATTGGAGATTCAGGCCATTGGGTTAATTAATAGGTCAAACTTCACTTTATTCCCTGTGCTATGTCTCAAATGCACTTTTTCTCCCTGTCATTTACAAAACACTCACGTGCTTATTGGATTAAAGTGCAAAGTTAGGAATTCCATCCAAGTTAACAAAAGGTGCCTCTCATGCGGCTGTGATGAAACTGGGTATGCTCAAATGCTATTTCCCTCAAAAAATCTTAACAGCAAATGACTAAGTTGCCCAAACTATTCCATATTTATGAGAAGCAGATCTTGCCTGCTATAAAGGAGTCCACAGCGGAGGAAGAAAGGAAGAAGAAACCAGGTCTGCCTCAAGCTAAACCATTTTTTTTTTCCCTGAAAAATATGTTTCTGCTTAATGGGTCTCCATGGGTCTGGTTCACTAGATTCCGTCGATGAGGATGAGCAATACAAGGACCGCTGCATTCAGATTTTCTAGTCTACAAGTAGAACAATGTCACCATCTCTCTCAAGCCTGCAAGTTCGTGGCTTTCAGCCACCCACCAACCACATTTCTTCTTCCCTTTTCCTCTTCACCGTCCAGTCCACTGCCTCCAGCCACCTATTTTTTTCTTTTCCAGCCACCTATTCCTTTTCTCTTCTTCCTTTTTAATCTTCAACCAACCGTTGCCTTATAGTCACCTCAATCAAACCAGATCAAAGTATCCACCAACAACAAAACCCTTAAATTTCATCAAACCCACCCATAGGAGTTTCAGTTATTTCTATTGAGGCAATTTCACTAACCAAAGGAAGATGTTATACCATTCAATAACTGTGAAGAGAGGGCCTTGATGCCAACGATGATTTCTAATTTTGATTTTTGAATTTTAAGTTTGATTTCATTGGTTTTTGCTAATAGATTTTTACCTCAGAATTTGATTTGAATTTTCTCCTTTAACTTTTGGTTCAAAGCATTGCAGTCATGCCGCAACAATGGCCTGAGTGCTTTGGTGGAGGAAGGTTGTAGGGAGTCTACTAAAGAAGAAGATAGAGGGAAGGGTACTAATGCCATTTTTCTTTTATCGTTTACAGCATTAAGAGTGCACTTTAGTCCACTAACCATGTGGGGGTTATGTGGCTATTTTAAATGATAGGGAGGTGATGTGGAAAAAGGGTAAATCACAGGAAGGTAAAGTGAAGTTGTTTGCCCTAATTAATATGCAGATGTGTATGTGTGTGTGTTGTGTGTGTGTGAGAGAGAGAGAGAGAGAGAGAGGAGGAGGAGGGGGGGGGGAGTTAACTAATAACTATCCCATTCATTAATGCATACATATGCTTGCTTATTGTCATTTTTTCCATCTGTGGAAATTTGGTGAGCGATATATTATAGTGCTTATTTCCATTTTCAGGTTTCATCTTACAATTTTAGTCTATTTGAGTACAATCATTTTGAAATAAAGGTCATTTATAGTCTCGATATGGATCCAGAGGCTGCACGAACTGCCCGGGAATCTCTGGACCTGTTATTTCATATGTCAAACATTCTTGAGACCGGGCTTGATCGTCACACGCTCTCTGTTCTTATTGCTCTCTGCGATCTGGGTCTGAACCCTGAGTCACTGGCTGCTGTAGTTAAGGAGCTTCAAAGAGAAACTCCTCCGTCATCTTCCTCCTCCATGCCAACAACTCCGTCTGTTCCTTAGATGGGTTAATGTTATCTGCTGCTAATCATACACGAGGAGAAGAAAATGTCTTTGGAGATGCCATTGTTTCTGCAACTATTTATATGTGTAATTTATTTCCTATTTCTTTCTGTTAGGCCACGATGAAAAAAGGTTTGTGTTTTTTGTGGTTTGGATTGTCAAAGTGATTGCTATGTCCATGCAGGTTCATGCAGTTGTTTGCCTATTACCAGCTTCAGACATAACGTTCTCTCACTTATTTATATGTTCTCTTTTATTATTTCAGTTCTTGCTACTTTGATCAGTTTTTTATTCTCTTAGCACTTGTACTGTCTCCAATTTTGTTATTTTTCAGCGTAAGGGATAAACTATATTCGAGCAAAATGATCTTACTTTTCTCTGCTTCAATAATGGGGACAACTTTATCCAGGAAACTGTGGGTATCCAGCAATGAATATGAAACTTCCAATGAAGGTGTGTTGTTGTAAGCTTATTCTGAGCCATATCATATGATGTGTGTATGTCTGTATGTTTGCTTTCTGAGAGTTCCTGAGAGTTCCACAGAGTTGGTTCCTTCCATTGCATTATGGCCAGCAATTATAATCTAAAGTTTAGTTGTTTGATGTTAACTCTGTTGTTCTGTGTTATTTTCATAAGATAGATAATTCTCCGTTCTCACCACAGTGCTGTTTGTGAAGAGTACAAGCATGAGAATCAGGGTCAAAACTGTTTGCTTTGATGTTGTCGACAGCAGGCTGCATCTGGCTTATCTGAAAATGGAGTCGTGTGTGTTTGTGTTTGTGTGTCTCTGTCGGTGCGTGCATGAGAGGCTGATATGTTTTTGGCTCATCTAATTATCATCTGACTCTGGAAACAATGTGTTTGTTAAGTGTTCTGCTTCTCCAACTCATGTTCATTATTGGAGGGCTAATCTTCCTGAATTTGGACTGATCCATGGTCCTAATGAAATGAGCTGCCGAAATTTTTCACTTACCTGTAGAGGAGATCATCAATCTGATTCTCCCCTGCCCCAACCACCCCGATAGGCACTGTTTGAGCACATTTTAGATGATCATAATGCTGTTCTTGAATCAATATTGATAATTTGTATGGCACCTCAAGCATTTATTTTTGGGTAATATGGAACAGTTGCACCAGAAAACTGGATTCATTTCTGCTGAAGCTCCTTTCAGGGTGGGGTATGGTGCACTAAATGTCTACGGTCGAGAGATATTTAGGGTGGGGTATGGTATCAAATTAATTGTTTTTTTGGGTATCGTAGTGTTATACTGAAGCTGTCTCCACCATTCTGTTGGGGTATCATCTCCGACGCTGATATCTGATGGCCAAAATTCTGAAGTCAATGCAGAGCTCGTCCACAGGTCTTCCCAAGTTTTCTGTTTTGGCCTTTAAGCCACAAGCCATCCGTCAAGTCAGAATTTAGAGTGAACAAAAGCCCTGGTTAACACACTGTAAGACATGACAACACAAATCTTATACCAACTTTCGTTGCATTCATGAATTGTGAGCGTTTAACATTTGATAGAGATGTGTGTAG